ATTCAGCTTTATGTATAAGATACGATCAAGAAGAAATGAACACCAACAAGATTGGCAATAAATAACTGCCTGGCGAACGGCAATCGAGAAACCGCGAACCAGCAGCGTGATGCAGTACACTGACGCCTATGGCCCGTCTAAAGGGCGAGTAGTCCCGTTGCAAACAGGGAAAGCGGGGCAGAACAGTATGCAAATGAACAAAACGAAACAAAACAACTTAACAGAGGAAACTATCGCGATCACTCTCTTCATCTTAAGCTTGCTCCATTTTGATAAAACTTCTGAACATGATACTTTTGAAATAGATGATGCGCTTTTTCTTGAGTATATTCGGAACAATAAGCATCTTCTAAAGTGATGTCAGCTTATAACCAAAAGATTTACAGCGAGCTGTCTGCGGTATCAGTATATCAAATATTCGGCTCTGAAGAAATCCTGATATGGACTCAACGTGGTATAATAATAGCAGGATGGAATCGAATACGACTTCCATTGAGGTACAGAATTCTTACTTTCTTTTAAAAAGAAACAAGCTTATAAATGGTCTAGATTCTCTCCTATGCCATCCAAGATAGTTATAAAAACATCGACAGCACGAGGACAATTTGTCGCGATTACGAACACAAACATTGTTGATGAAAGTGGCAGAGATTTGGCTTGCGGTTTGTTTTTGGGTCCGTCAATATGTTGATTTCATCAAAAAACCTCTAGGTGGGAATTTGCATGTGATCAGGCCAAAAAATGAAAATCTCATACGCCTTACCGCTATTCAAAGGCTTGATCCTGGAGATTCGGAAGTTAGTTTCATTAATTCTTTTCTCGAATCTCTGAAATAATCGGTTATTCACAGACTTCTACCATGAAGCCTACCCTCCGTGTAATGTCGACCACCAGCGGACCACCTGCAAGGGTGCGACCAATTTCTTCACAAGTGGTCCCTTCCATGCAGAATTCTTTCTCCATTTCCGCGCCCTCACGAAGCGAATCATCGCCTTTTGCAGTAATGCCGATAGCCCCATCAGAGGTAAACTAAGTTGAACAATAAAATCAGTATATCGATTTTTTGAGGTCTCCTCAAATCAGCAGACTAATGCACCTCGAACAACCCGCGCTCCACCTGTTAGCCCTTCAGCTTTTATGCCTATCAAAAAAACCAACATCACACTTCCAATTATGGGACCGGAGCCTACATTTCCTACTCCTATTGTGGCTGAGACCAAGCGGACACCATCTATCCAAGTAACCTGAGTGCCAAAAATCGACTGTAATTTCAAAATTCTTTTTAGGACCTTATCAGTGGCATGGCTGGCCAACCAATATTTGAAGGGCAGCTGAAGTATCTTGCCAAGGTACTGCCAAGCTGCTAATGTTTGCTAATTTATTACAATAATTCAGAAATTCGGCTTTGATCGAATGACAGGCGAACAAGCAGCGCAACGATTAATGCAGATTCAACAGATGCTGGGAAGCTTGCGGCCACCCCCCACAAGTGGTCGAAAACCAATTTCTCCAGTCAATGCTAAGGTCTGATAGCAAAAAACAGTTAGTATGGTGCCCTCGAGGTGTCGACAATGCTTGGTGTAAAAGGCCATAGCGCGAAGACT